GGTCTTGGATGTCGTGCCAATATGTCAGCCAGCAACCCACCAGAAAAGGTAAACTATTTCTGTGATGTTTCTTATGATACTGCTACAATGAAGAACCTAAAATCTGTCTCCTTCATAGGATGACTAAATTTGAGTCTAAATAAAATACTTGAAAGGATAAAAATATCAGTCAGTTACAATTATTTCTGTAACTTGTAATATCTCAAATTTACCCATTTTCCTTTGCTAGCAGAGTATCCATAGTTAATAAATGCAAAAAGAGTTCACTAAAATAAGCTCAGCTGCCTGGAGATGATGTTCATCTTTACCCCTTGTGATCAAAGACCATTTCAGTTTATTTTTCTAGGCAAAATTCCCTGCAATACCTCAAGTCTTACCAGAGTACAAAGTGAATCAAAATTGTAATGAGATATAGAAGGAAGGTTCAAAGTGGGAATAAGCTTCAGGGAGTAAATGTATGCTTACCTTGAAGGCACATTTCCCGCATGGAGTGTTTGAATACTACAAAGCTTTCAAATAAACCAAAGACGGCGATTATATCTTTATCAAAAGGAGTGTTAAACTGAAAATATTTAAAGAGATTCTTCCCCAAGATTAAACAATAAATAAAAATAAATCACCCCCACTACAGGCCTATCTTGTATCTAAACCATCTAAACCAGTTCTGCTACTCTAAAACTGACAAAAGTTCCTTTCCTCTCACCTCCAACAGCAGTCTGTCCAAATTACTGCTTTACCCCTGTGCATGAAGAGCATGCAGTTCATATACATGAAGTTCGTACAGTGGCAGTATCTAACACCAAAGAACTGGCACTGTTTAATCAAGCAAGAACAGTGAAAGCCTCAACAAGGGCATTTAGGAGCTTAGTGTTCAAATGCTCAACGCTCATAATTGGGCTGGATGGAAAAAAGCTTTGAGTGGTGACACTTGGTGGTATCAATGTTACATTTTCTAAAGATTTTGGTTGTTAGTGCTCTTTTGAAAAAATCCAACTGCTTACACTAGTGCCTTGATAGGAAGTAAGATCTTTGGGAACTCTGGCTGTGGTATTCATACCTCAAAAATTCATGCTCTTGAAAATTCAGGGGCAGGAACATCACAAAGATATGATCCAGAGATCAAAATGAATTAATATAGCTTTTTACTTTACAATCCTCCAGTTTTGTCTGCGTAACCCCATTAGGCTTGGGAGGGATAGCCTTTGTCATAGAACTCACTACGTAAGAGAAATTAGAGTCAGGCCCATACTCTTACCTTCATTCCTTAACCTTGAACTGACAAAAGAAAGAATCAGTGATGAAGAAGAGAAATGGAGTAAATCCACAGAACTCCAGTATGTTAATCCTTCAACTGTTGGGGCAGAAATAGTCCGTGGTTGGAGTATGATAGAGATTGAATAGTTTGGAATTCAACAGAGATGGAAAAATATATTCCTTTGATTTTTTTTTCCCCCGTTCATTAAGGAATACAACATAATTTTGCTTATTTGCTATTAATTATTTGTGTTTTCAGGATCTGGGGGAAAAAAAGCAAAGGATTCTTATACTCTGTCTGCAGATCATAACTGGTTCGTTCACAAAACATCTCACACTTACTCAGCAACATCACAGAACACATTCAATTTTACCTTGTTGGGTTTCTTGCCAGTCCTTTTCAGAAAATGTACACTAGGAGCAGCAGTGAAAAACAGGAAATATACCCAGAAGTTCTTTGAATGTCTTTGAAATGTAGAGTGAATTTTGTAGAGAGGAGTTGCCATGAAACTCATCACAGCTAGTGGTTGCAGAGCTGAGAATCAGTCATGAATTCAGCTCTGTGCTGTCAGATATTTCACAACCTTTATACATTATTATTTAATAAATAATTCTTAGCACTTTATCAATAATTCTCATCCATGGATCTCAAAATGCTTCATAAAAGTTAATACCATTTTCAATTTATAAAAAGACGTTGCAAATACTTAGTAGTAGATGGTGTGCTCAGAGGAGCTCTCTGGGCTTCAGTAAGATTATATGCTTATGAAGAAACTCTAGAAGGACTGAGAATTTATGTATTTACAGCAGTGTACCTTTGCCAGAGGTTGTGCAGCAACATGGCTGTCTAAATATTTATCAGTAGGTTGATCTAGGCCTGAACTTCAGGTGCATACAAAAAGGCATTTAGAAATTCCCTATAATTTGTTTTAAATTCTACTACTACCAGTTATAGACTCATATAGTTAATCTTATGTTTTATTTGGGACTTTAGCACTGCAGTCATTTTTATAGGAATCACAGTGAAAGTAGTAAACCAGGGGTGAATAGTAATTTTCTTTCGAAAAAAATATGAAATGTAAAATAAAATAAACCTATAAATTTATTAAAAATGCTTTTGAATTCATTATGATTTTAAATTACTTTGCCAAGACTTTCCAAATTTGTGACGTTAAAGTCAGTAGTAATCTTTCAAAAGATAAATGTTTTAATAAATTACTTTTTTTTCTTCACATTTAAACTACTTTGAGACAAAATATTATGCAAGCCATGGAAACAACTACAAAAAATAGGTGTTTCAAACACTCTTATCTGATTTTTTTTTCTGAAAATATATATATGAGTAAGTGATTTTTGCCTTCTGCATTTTTAGTTAGAAAGAAGGTTTAAAACTTGCTGCTAGTTTCAGCTAGTTGGAGATCTAAACATCTCATTAAAAAAAAAAAAGATTTTGTGTCTCACTTAATGGGGATTCTGTAAAGATAGCTGCACAAAAATTACTTACATTGTCAGTTAAAGATAGAACATGAAAGCAATATTGTGCTGCAAGCAAGGGCAGACTTCCAAGGAGTACTGGGAAGGCAAACAACATTGTTAAAGTAATAGCACTCTGACATTTTCAATAACCATCCAGCTTACCCTTTCACGAAAACATAAAACTAAACAGAAGAAAACAAAACAAAACAAAACCACAATATGTTTCCCTTAAATCTTTCTAGGCAGGAATGATCTAATTTTAGCAAAGTCCCTTCTGTATCATCTCTACTATAACACACATTCCCTGTTACTAGCAGCTGTAACCATGTTCAGTCAAGATAACAGAACAGCCCAGACTAACACATGAAAATTTAAAGAAAATGCAGAAGCTATCTTGTAGCTTGTCCAGACCCCAAAAAATGTGCACAACAACAACATAGTTCAGAGAACAAGGCAGGAAAAGGTGAATAGAAGAACAGCTACACGATTAGCTGTACTGTCTGTAGTTCGTCAGCCTGACATTTACCACGTGTAAAAGGCAGTTTGTTGATTCTCCAGAATGATGCTCAGGATTTTCATTCTGTTGACCACTTCAGAAATTAGATTTTGTATCATTTTTCACTTGATATTCCCTGTTGTTTTTTTGGCTGTTCAGAAGGAAGCGAATCTGCTGATGACTGAGCCAAGCAGCATACAAGAGAAATAACTCACTCTGTCAATACACCAACAGTATTGGTGATATATACTTAAATAGTTTCAGCAAAAGCCCATGGGTCCACTCCAAACAAAGCACTGGTGAGCTTCTTCTCAAAGTACAGATCATCAAGAAGAAAAACAATACTCTTCAGAGCATTATTTTAAAAGCAATACTCCATACCTTTAAAAGAAAAATACAAAAACCCTGCAAGTCCTTTCTTCTGAGTCTGTTAATTTGACCATCCCTCTTGGGACTTGAAAACTGATCTTCCTTCACTGTGTGGCACATTCGTTGAGATTTGCAGTATCTTCTCCCTTCAGATCCTCATTCAGGCTTTTTTTCTGCTCGATTTCTACCTGTCAGAGGAAAAAGAGGGAGAACACTGGTAATGAGGAAAAAAAAAAAAAAAAAAAGACTGAAAAATCTTCCTTAGTGGTCAATGCTCAGGTGAAGAAACTCTTGGTAAACTGAGAGGCCTGTAAGAGAAATAGAATGGGGAGGGAAAGCTGGATTTGATTTACTATAATGGTTTTAAGTCGAATCCAGACAGTTTTATGATTCAATAGTGTTGTGACATCATTTCCAGAAGAGACAATATCATGAAGAGAATTGGTCTCACATGATTTTATATTCATCACCATCCCCAGCTGTACTTCGAATCCAAACCCAGAACCAAATCTGCAGAAGATTAAGTGGCTTTCAAAGTGACAGCAGAAGACCAGCCTCAGTTTTAAACTCTGCGAAGATCGATGCAAAGTGTTTGATGAAAGCAAAGAAATTCATTTGCAAAATGCACATCTACTTATGTGTTCTAAATTTCAATACCTCTGAAAATTCAGGGATAATACAATGTTTAGTTCTTAGAAGGGATACTTACTTAGGAAGATCAAATGTCATCTCCAGGGAATTTAAGTGACTACTAAAAATGAAATTGCATTTAACATCAGAAATATTTACCCTGAGATTTTTTTCACTCTCATCATTGCTCTTAAAAAAGGCAGGTAGAATGCCAATTTCTCTGCTGAGTGATCAGCTACCATGCAGATTTGGCATACTGAGATTCTTGGCATGTATATACATCGTGCATTTTCCCATCTGCTCATCTCCTTAGGGCAGGCAGGAAAAAGCAATATTTAAGCACAGAAATAATGTGATCCTTTTGTCTGCTGTAGTACTCCCACTTTAGCACTCCCACTGCAGTTACTACAAAGAGCAGCAAAACTCCTTGTTCACACTCCTGTCTGACCAGCTGCTCCCCAGGAATTGATTGTCTGTCTGCATGCTCTTTCACAAAGCAAGTGTAACCAAGTTTAGTCCACCTTCACCGAGGGATAACCCACTGCCTATCTGCCATGAATCAGTAGGCTGCACGTGGGTAGCAACAGCACAGAGCCTGACTTGTACCAAATCCCCACCTCATCTGCCTATGGTATTTCATTTGTCTGCCCACACTATTCAAGACAATGAAGTACGCAAAGTAACCATGGTGATTGCCAAATACTCAATTTTACCTTGTAACTGTAGTGTGCTGAATAGTTGACCCACTTTCTCACATCAGTCTTGTCCTCAACAGAGATGGACCGAACCGTGGCTTTGGACGCAGAAGTGGTGGGCATGTCGAATTCCACATCTACGTAGCGGATAAAACTGGAAGGCACTTCCCGGTCAGAGCCAAGCTCTAGGTGACAGAAGAAGCAGTGAGGATGGCCAGAAGCTGGAAAAAGAGAGCAAACAGACATGAAATTTGTGTTGGTTGGATCAGAAAAGACCACATCTAGGAGGAAGCAATGTCATGAAACAGAAAGAAAATGATGATCTGCCTAGAGGAACTAGTTTGTGGCAAGGGACAGTACCTTACCTGTTTCAATGCCATTGAAACTTCATACTTTGGAGTTTCAAGACCAATTAAACAAAATAAATCACTAAAATGACAGCCAATCAGTCTAGTTTGCTTTCAGTGAGTGAAAATTTAACATGTAAATCAAGCAGTGTAGGAAAAGGTATTACCCCTCTTCTGATTCTCCCAGTGTATGTAATACACTAAGCACATTGTGGCACATCCTTCTAAGATGCCACGTATTGATAGTGAGTTAAGGCAGATTTGGCGGATATTTAATGTTTATTTTTTGAACTTGTTATCCTCATTTATTGGGAAAGAAAACATATTGGATAAAACTAATTCACTTTCTCGGGTTCAAAAAGCTAATTTGTGCACAGCTTGGAAATAACTGTTTATTCCTTATTCTAACCTACCACAAGATGGCTAATCATTAATGATGAAAAGGTGACAAAGTAATCATGTTTAGCTCTACCATCAGTAACTGGTAATCTTTGCTATCATATTTTTTCCTTTGTTTTGCTGGACAGCAGTGATGCTTAAAAATTAAAACAGAATTAAAATTAAAATTAAAATTAAAATTGAAAAGCATGATGCAGGATTTTGAGGTATTATTCATCCTGACGGGATGTGAGCACTCTGAAAAGGGCTTAGGCATCACAACACCCCACTTAACTTTTAAAGTAGGGTTGGGAAAAATAAATTAACCTGGTGTAAATCCTATACCTAGAATGAACTTGGTATTTCTAAGCAATCTAGACAGTTTTCTCACAACTGGAAGCATCAGAAACTTTTGTCTGTGCATCAAATCCAATCAAATCCACTGCCGCAGTCAAATTATGAATGAGTGGATGCAGTATCAGGCAGATATAAAAACTTGGGTACTGTAAGCTGTAGAACACCATTACCTGCATTTCATCAGGATGAATTATCCCAAACACAGCACTGACTCAGTTGCCCTGGTCCTAGAGAGAGCTAGGACGTCTCTCTGACAGCACTTCCCAGCTTCTCACACCTGGAGCACACACTTTTTGTGGATAAAAAGCACAGCCAACCTTCAAGGTGATCCCAGCAAATGTAGGCTAGCAGCAGCCCCCTGTGCAGCAGCTGTGCCTCTCACTGATAACATTGTGCCCACCGACACCACAGGGCTTTTGCTTCTTCCCAGTTCTTGAGCTCACGTCATCCTCTGTCATGGGACAGAGGGGTGTCACTGTGTGTACCTGGGAATCACTGCAGCCTGGCACTGCATAATGAAGTTGACTAAAAATTAGTCACTTCTGGCTCAAACCCCCCGTGTTCAGAGTTCACTCATTGGCAACCGATAGTTAGCTTTGCTCTGATGAATTAAGTCAAATATCAAGGAATATCTGAATTTATTTTTCAATTCATTTAATAGTGCAATTTTTCAATAACTTAATTTCTTCCAACAGGAGTACCCACTAACAGAAAAGACCATGTACAACACTCAGAAAAATACGGAAGTTATTCATTTAAACCAGATCAGCACGGCAGACAACCAAGTGAACTGATTAAGAGAGGAAGTTCCACCTCTAGCTCAGCTCTAGCAAAAATAGTGAGCACATCAGTGTTCATCAGTGTCCTGAGTGTGAGGCACACAAAGCACAACTTCTTTATTCCTTCTCTTTGCTCAACAGGCTGATTCGGTGCTCTAACACATGCACTTTTCTAATAAAATCAGGAGGAAATCACCAGACTGGTTTTCTCCTGAGCCTCTTGCATCCTTGAACTACTAGTATTTCATTCTGACAATCAAGGATCTCATCATGTAACTCACAGGTACACATGGGTTACCGTGATTGCAGGGAATCTGTTCCAACGTCCTCTGATGTTCCAACATGTTTGCGTTACAGGATTTAATTACTCTACGGCAGAAGGTGTTGCAGGCAGCATGCCTGGGATCCTCAGCCAAGATGGGCCAAAGTTCAAATATCCAGATCCAGACCCTGCTTAGAGGTTACAGCCCTGCCTCGTTCGAAGAGCGTTTTCCCACGATCGGCGGCTGGGTGGATGTTTTCCTAACATTCTGCTGGTGGATTGAAAAAAAATACCAACATGTGGAGCCCAGCCAGCTGCAAGTGAAGCTCTGCAAAGCCTGTAAATAGGCTTTCTTTATCAACTGCTGTGATTATATTAATTGTGAATAAGAGAAGGGCAATCAAGTTTAACAAGCTATTTTGGAAAGGATTTCAGCAATGTGCTTGGTAGAATGCAGTCCATTTGTTTCTTAGGTCAACTCATGGTCAGAGTACACACAGTTCTTCATTTGTCATATGCTTTTCCATTTCTTGTCATAAGCAGACACTTTGGCTACAAAATAATACAGACAGTGCTGATAACAAGTTCCTATAGTGAGAGTGCGAAGGGCCCCATCCCATTAGAAAGCACAAAGAGAAAACATTTGGGTAAGACACTGAAGCCACTGAAATCATTCTTACCAAGTCGGGTGCTTGGATGCTGCAATGTGGCTGTGAGCATCTGGTGGGACCCACTGTCATCCCCATCAGTGCTGTGGTACCAGCTGTCAGGGCAGGGCATGGCCAGGGCTGGTGGTGTCACTCACTTCACGTCTACACACATGCCCCCAGGCCATGGGGACAGCTCGGGTGGCCTCTGGACGCAGGCTGGAGATGGGGACTGTGGCCACCCGCAGCCTTCTCCCTCAGCTGCCTCTCTCCAGCTGTGGAGTGCCAGGCACCAGAGCAGCTCTTTAGCTCTGGTGCCTCTAAAGAGGAACAGGAATAAACCTCCCTAGTTCTCCCTGCTAAATCAATGGTGTCGAGCAGTTCCATTTACATCCCTCTTTGTTTGCCATCTACTTCAAGGAAGGAAAGCCATGGAACAAGCAGAACTTGGAGAAATGTAAATAGCCCTTGAGAGGCAAGATCGGATTTAAATTACATTTAGTGTGTCCTGTCATCACCCTGGGATTCCCTCCCTCTCACATACCCCGTGTGTCCTGGCCAATACAGCGCTTGCAAGGCCTTTCCGTTCCCTGAAATTACATCTGGCCTGACCGGAGGGGTGAGGACACTCTCTTCCTCTCAGGATGTAAACAAATATTAACAGCCCTGCGTTCTGCGTGGTGACACTGATGGATAGATGCTCTGTGGCAGGCCTCCAACAGCAGTGCCAAGTCTGCTTCATTTCCCCCTGACCCAGGGTATGCAACGGAAGGCCTCACACTGGGAGCAACAACAGTGAGGAAGCGAGAGCTGCAGATAAACATCTCTCTCCTGGCTGTGGTGGGTAAGGCAGCATCACCTTGTAGGATGCAACAGAGTCAGGAGTTCTGCCTCTTTTCCTGGTTTGTTCCTGGCGAGTTCTGGGGTTGTGTTAAAGTCTGAGAGTTTCATTGTCCCAGCTGTAAGGTCTATACAGTATACAGAGAGAAGATGCCACAGAAGGCCCACTTTGATACCATCTCGTTCCCAGAGCTTATACAGATGGTGCATTGAGATTTTCCTCACAAGCACATTATTGCTCATACACAGCCTGAGGTTAAATTTTCATTGCAATATTTCTCAGGCTCCCAGACTCTCTCTTTTTCTGCCCTGCACTACAGAAAGCACAGACCCCTCACTTCTGTTAGTGGTATCCCTCCAAATTTGTAACCAATAGTGTAACCTGGTGTCCTTGGGCTGAAATGTGATCCAATGGACTAGAAGACTTGGATCAATGTTTTGCTAATGCTATAGCTTAAACTTGGGAAAACAATTGTCCTTGGGAAAACAATTGTCCTTAGAAAGTGGCAGATCTGGTGCAACACTGAACTTTCTTTCAGGAAACACCAAACACAGAAACCCACCCAGTCACACAGCTACAATACTACAGCATTAATACTAAAAAGTACACCTTGTTAGTAACAAAGTTGTTTAGATCAGACAAATCAAGAAGTAGAGTTCACTATGCATAAATATAAACCTGAATTATCTAGTTTTATTGCCCAGGGTGAACAAATAGTGGGGACAACCAAAGGGAACAGTAGCTTGCTCATATTACTTGAATGTTTAATTATTAACATGTTACAAGAAATACAAAGACTTGTGGAATTCATGCTGCTATTTTTGGGGTTAAGCTGTGTTCACCTGTCTGCACTGATTGCAGAAACATAGCCACAAACTGGCATTTGCAAAACTTTTTTCTGTAATGGTTACACAATACCTTCTGTCTTCTTATGACTGTTCACTCTAGACGCTTCATAGAGATTAGTTGCTGTATATGTGTCAAAATATATAACACTGAACCAGTATGTTTGCAAGGCACTGGCAATGCAATGGATGGAAATGCATGGAAAATGAATCACATGTGCTGGCACTACAGTAAATTATCTGGTCCTGTCATTCAGTCACATAGCATAGGGTCTTGGGTCTTGCCTTTGCATGTTACCTGAATGAGCCCTGCTTCCATCAGCAGTGCTAAGCATATAGAAATGTTTGACACAGAAGTCCTATAATGTAATCATAAAGGACTTCATAAAGTCCTATAGTGTACTCATAAAAGCAGAGACAGAAGGCATATTTTTGCATCTGGAAAATCCCAAATGTTTTTATCGTTAGTAATGTTTGTAGGATGTATAAACTACTGCAATTAAGGGTAAGATAAATGCTATATGCAACAAACTGATGTTGTTTGATACACTACAAAGAATGACTTATACCTTAGTATGTTAACCCAGTACTCCCTGTCTTCCAAAACACATAACTCCTTTAAGCGTGCAGAGATTGCAGAGATTGTGTACACCACTCACCTGAGTTTTTGTCAGGCAGTCGGTTTATCCTCCATACAATGGAGTTAAAGGCATGCTCGTATTTGGCAGTTCCCAAAGTAACTCTCATGACCGGCTCAGAACCAGACAGGCTGGTTGATCCAAAACTGGCCCCCTTGTTCACCTTGGCTTTCAAAGATTTCTCTCCCAGGACGCTCTCCCTGCGGAAGTTCTTCACCCACTCACTGGGCACGGGGTAGCGGATCATCACATTTTCACAAGGGACCTGAGTTAAAGGGTCACGGTTGGAGGAGAAGCCAGTGGACATCATCAGCCAGCTCTGCACCTCCACCTCAGCACCGTTGATGCTGGCTGCTGTCCTCAGAGTGAAAGGCAAAGTTTTCTCAGCAAAGACAGTTCGGAATCGCATCAGTTCAAACCGGCAGGCATCCAAGGGGTTGAACAGGATAATACGGGAGTTATTAAAGACATCCTCATCCACACATGAATGGAACCGACAGCTGTATAACTTAATCCACTTAGTGGTAGTAGTGGGCATAATATCCTGCCTTGCAACTATTTCATTCCCTTTGACTAGGATATCGTTAAGGCCCAGTCTGCATTCTGCCAGGCCAGAAAGGAAGCTGAGAACATAGATATGGGTCAGCACACTGTGCTGGAGAATCACACTGTCTCCTTTGGCCAAGATGCCATGAAACTCATCCCTAACATCAACGGTGATTTCTTCCTCTTGATAGTTTAGTCCCACCGTGCTCAGATCTGTTGATGAGGCTGGCAAGTTCATCAGTGTGTCCTGCACAGCACTGATGAAGCTAAGGAAGTCTTCATAATCTGTAGTCCCAAG